AAAAAAAAAAAAAAGCAAATGAACTCCTTAAAATTGTGCGTTCCATTGTACAACAAATTAATAGTCAAGGTTTTGCATTATAAAGTGATCAGTGCATTGCATATTCACTGTAATTATACCCGTACTGATATCTCGGCTATGGCCTTCCCACCACATTAACGTTCTTGGGATCCTAGTGTGGTACTGGTATCTGTGCTGATGTACCGGTAAGGACCGTCGCACCATTAAGGCAGACACATGTGTCGGTATACTGGAATGATCATGTAACCCAATTATTCCTTGTTGGGCTGTGGTCTACAGCACTAAATACCTTCCTATCCCAGAACAAGTTTCGTATTTCTAGTTTACCCCGAGCACACCTGATTTGCTAATTGTTTTTCTGCATAATGTTGCTTTGAATACAAGTTTCTCGTCCACCTAGAAGATTGTGATGCAGACTTTCTTAATGCTAAAAAACAGCAGTACAACCAGATGCTGCGGCTCCTCTGCAGGCACTGGTGGTGCTTCAATAGCCATGCCGTTAAAGACGATGGATAGAACAACCACTTTTTTGTGTTACAGCCAAGTAAGCGTCTGAGCCTGTTCGAAGCCAGGAACATTGTTTTGTTTTTTATTGGAAATTACAGAAATTTTTTCGCAAGCTCAGCATCCCAGTTGTCACATATCACCGTAGCTAGTGGTGTTACCGTAGTTCATCATATTTTGTCTTATTGGCATTTTCTATCTCAGCCATCGCGACACCCTACTTAAAAATGACAGGTTCTCCATACGAGAAGAAGACCAATACAGTTGTTTGCAGGGCTGTGGAAATATAGATTGTATTTTGATTGTAGTCTCGGATCTCAAACTATCAATTATTGCAATCTTAACAATCTGAGAGGTGTATATTGCAATATATTGTATTGATCTACACTCCACCGACATCATAGCTGCTTCTAGACTGCTCAATCGCATTAGATACGTCCAAAAAGCGTGCCTAAACCCCAGTTGAGTTTTAAGAACATGATGACTTCTAGAGTGTCTTGACCCATGATTTTGCGCGAGAAGCCCACAGTACTCTTGCCTGTGGAAAAAAAGGAGTTCCGCAGCTACCGACGTAGGTGGAATCCAACTCGCATCGATAAATTTTGACTGTGGTCCACTGCGCTCGAGAATTTTCTTACTAATCTTATCATCGAGCACATCGGTAGCACGTTTACGCTTTGACAGCGTTATGGTCGCGGTGGAAGGTGTTGTTTGAGAGTCAGCTTGCGAGGTGGCTAGGAGACGACTTAACGCCTTTTTTCCATTTTACTGCAAAATTGTATCTAAACCAGCTTGGAGTTTAGCAAGATCACTTTCAAAAAGTGGAAATTCGATAATATTTGCGTCGGCCGCCAGATATTTCTTCATACCAACATAGTCATCCAGCACAATATCGAAAATGTCACGGACAGCTGCGACTGTAATGTCGTCGCGCTGAAGTTTTCCAGTAATGACATCAAATGCAGTCATCTCATTCAGTAAACCAGCGATTTTTCGCTGCTCGCTCACAGACGGAATTAGATAACTCGGTGAATTTCCTCTGGGCTAGCATCTACCGGTATATCTCGATCCACCCCGCGTCCCGGAAAATGTGTAAATAAGGGCGATAGTCCTCAAAGTGTTGTAGCATTTTGTAACAACCACTCCAGCGGAGCTCGTGGAGTGGTACGGGC